CCGGCCGCGTTCCTCATTGGCCGCCACCTCCCCGGGAGGGGCCGTCGGGCGCTTGGGGCACCTGGCGTTGCCCCTTGCGGGGAAATCGGCGGATGCCCGGCACTGGCGCTTGGAGGTGAAAGCATAGGAGGGAAGGCCCGGGGCCGCAGCCGAGCTCCCTGCAGCCAGCCCTGCCCTACCCGTCACCCCGGAGCCGACGATGCTCGGATGCCTGCTACGCTGGCTGCACCGGCCGGAAACTTTGCCCCAAGTCTCCACCCGCCTGACCGCCTAGTCGGTGGTGTGTTCCCCGGGGCCCCGGAGCCCCGCGAGTAATTGCGAGGACCCCCGGGAGTCCACGCCCCGCCGCGCGCGAACAGCCGCCAGGATGCGCTACGCGGACCCCTCGGCGAGCAGGGATTTGTTGGGGAACCGAACTTTGCTCTTCATCTTCATCTGCGCCTTCGCCTTGGTGACTTTGCTGCAACAGATCTTGTATGGCAGGAACTACATCAAGAGGTGAGAAAGTCTGAGCGCGGGTGGGAGGGCTCGGAGCTCGCGGGCGAGCCCCAGGCGCCTGCAGCGCCCGCCGGGCGTCCCTGGGGTGAGTGAGCGTGGGGTCTGCGCTGAGGGCCCCCGACCACCGCCGCGTTAAGTCTGGGTCACGGCGGCGGTGCTGCGTAGCGCATCTCTCCCCCCAGCCAGAAGAGAGCGCCTGCCCAGCGCGGGCCCACAGGGGCCCAACAACTTTGTTCTCGTGAAAAATGGGGGACACGTTAGAATTCTGAGTGGCCACGCTGCCAGTAAATCCATCTGAATGCCCAAACGACCGCAGAGGCCAGGTTGGTGTCCCCCAAATCTACAGCGCCATGGACATTTAGTTGGAGGGGAGGCTCCCCGGAGTGGGAGACTCAAAACCAGAGTGGATTACCTTGCGAGAACTGAGCTTGTGTAGGCCCTTGGGAGAAAAAGCATATCCCTCCCTCCCCCAGGAACGTCGGGTTAGGTGGGGAGTGATAGTGGGCTGAGACAAGGCGACAGGGATAGTGAACTTATAAACCTCGGGGTCTGTGAAATTCACAACCGGATCCCTTCTGAAACAGATGGTCCTTTCTGATCCTTATGCAGAAGGTCAGAGCTGCAGACGAAGTTAACTCTCCCTTCTTTGGGCTCTG